CCCCTTTTTTTTTAAGGTGGAATTCCGAATCACAACATAAAAAATACAGCTCTTTTTGTTTGTTTCGTGATACGTTCAATTGGCGTTTCAGACAAATCACTGATCAGCCAAACTTCAAACATATTGCGACCTATTTGAAACTGAATGTCCAAGTTTAATAAATTGTGAGAATCTGTGAGCAGGGACAATTCTATAACTATGACCCTTATCCAAATCCTCATTCAGCTAATTCAGTCCCGCTCTTTGCTTAATCTTTTCGGCTCACTGTTTGTAGTCAATTTACTAAGAGGGTTTTCTACACAATTTATAACTCCAGAGTGTGAAAAAAGAGACAAATTTACTAAATAGTTGAACATCTAATTTTAGGGGCTGGACAATAGCTTGTTTACCCTCCTCACTTTAAATAGTCCCTAGTAATGGGATGTCCCCCAATTATGATATTAATATGATATTATTAGTCCCCAGCCACCGTCCAGGGGAGGAATTGGAAGCCCCCTCCCCCCCTTATTCTATTAGCATCCCACCACAAGCCCCATGGGCAGTTAACTCCAGGCAAAGTGTGAAGAAGAAAAGTCGAGCATCTAATATGCTCTCCTGGTTTCTCTGTGTATGGATATATTTTGCTGTACTGCTGTAGATATATCATTTGCACAGTTTTTCCAACACTTTTAAATCATTTGGAAAGCTTATTAAATCAGGGTCTCAGATGACAGATGATAGACAGACGGACAGATGATAGACAGAGACAGATTGATTGATTTAAATCTGTTGTTTTACCCTTAAATGCCTCCTTGCACTTCAGGGGTTAATTTATGCAAACAGTCAGAGTACGGGGAGATAGAGAAGAGCAATAAATGCTTAGGAGATGGCTGCTTGATTAAGTCCTTCACTTCATCAACACCTTTCCAGATTATAATCAATTATCAGGTCAGGCAGAACCCCGCCTGGCAGGCTGTGCAGTGCACATTCCGTCAAGATGGAATTAAATTTTATTGAAAAAGAAATATCAGGCACATTACATATGAGAAAAGGTTTCTGGCTCAGTGCCCGCATCACGCTCGTGGGGAATAGCGTCCCCTGTTACTTTCATCAGCTGAATCCACATGGCCACAAGATCAGACACATTGGGTCAGGAGAATAAATGGAAGGGACTGACAAAGATCCAAAACATGACTGCGCTGAGTGTTTACTAAGCCAAAGGGGGTGATAGCGAGAGTCAAAAACCCGACTAACTCTCTGAAATGATCATCTCAGGTTATTTACTAAAAGCATTTCAAGGCCAACTCCAAACACCTGACAGGTTTCCATCATACACATTGAGCGCAGTGCCGATTGTTCTAGAAGTTTCTATGTCATTATAGGGGGAGAACTCAATGGAAACTTATAAACACCTGAAAGTAGCTGGATACCCGCAGGATGTATTTACTAAACTGAAATTTGGGCCGAATTAGCAAACGTTCGACGTTATAAGCTAAAATAGCCGAACAGAAACAGTTCTCTATCAGTCACTTTACCAATCGGCTTTTATACTCTAGGCTTTGCAGGTACCTAGTCAATCCTCCGAAATATTCCGGTTAGTGAATACACCCTTTGTGGATGCATGAGGTGTCTTGAATTTTATCTTTGCTGTAACTTGCGATATGAATTGTTACAGTATTCTCGATACACTCTGCTTTTATACTTTCTTCTCCCGAAATCACAAGCTCAGAAATAAACCCATAGTTACTGGTTTTGGTACCACGTGTATTTCCTGTGTTCGGGTCATAGCAGAGGGTGTTGCAATCTTTGTGTGCCGGTATATATACTGTATGTGGGCTGATTCAATTTATAGACACCAGGTTCTCCAATAAACCCAGAAGATTTATCGAGCAGCTGATGGTAATACTCTATGAAGTCATTTATCATGAAGGAAAAGTCTATGGGCTATGTCTGGGTTAGAGTTACACTTATTAGGTTTAATTTCTCTGCACACACATACCTATTGACTGGACATCGGGTGGACACATAAACTTTCTAGATCTTCAGATGGAGACGAAACACAACCTCCGAGATATCTACCAGGAGAGGTGGCTCGGACTGCATAAACAAAGTGATTTAACTCCTAAATGGCAGTGAGACTGCAGGGGCATGATCTACACAACTCAACCCCTTAAGGACACAGCTTCAGAAGTAAAAGTCTTGCATGACGGGACATTTCTGTCATGTATTCACGAGGGGTTAACGAGGGGTTAAGCTAAAGTTGTTTTGGTGCATTGAGTGTCCCTGTTATAACTCTATTGCTGGACAGAGAAACTTACAATTAATAACAATGTTAATGGTCACTGCGCAGGAAACCTACAGTTAATAACTCTTAGAGCGCTTCCGATGCGTCAAATAGCCTCCATGAGCTACAAATGGTCAATTGGACATTCAGTGAAACCAGCCATTAAAGAGGAAATTAGCTTGAAGAGACCTTAAATGGACACTCAATTGTTGGCTTCTAAGGAAAACAGAATATTCAAATATATAATTTTTCAGTAAGGTAATAGCTTCTTGATCCAAGGATAAATCTGACTGCCATTCTGGGGTCAAGAAGGATTTCTAGTTTGTTTCAAAATTGGAAGTGTTTCAAACTGTTTTTTTTTGCCTTCTTTTAGCTCAACAGCAAAAAAACAATATGAGGAAGGCTGAACTTGATGGACACAGGTCTTTTTTTAGCCTATGTAACTATGTAATACACAATGACTGAGCATTGCCCTTACCAAGGTGAAAAACTTGCTGTGACGAGACCAATCTCGCCAATGTGCATTGGAGGAGCCCGGTTGCCTGCCTGCTGCCTTTTGACTATGGACCGGCATTTAAATACTTTATTTTCCTATGCAGAAAGGTCTATTCCTGTATTTCTGCCCTGACGTTCGGTAGATTCTCGGATTTAGTGAATGAACTAATTTAACCCAGATAGCTATGCCATGGAGCCTATTAGTGTAATAAAAGACGTTGGCTCCATGGCGATTGAACTGTATGTGTGTGGTCTGAGCGCCATTCAGTAATAATGTGCGCTCAGACCTAAGCTATCTGGGTATATGTTGCATGTCTGTATTTTATGTAATAAATGTAACCATGTGTATTTTATTGTATTTTACTGTATTTTGCTACCATGTGGCTAATGGAGTTTTGCCTCTGTCCTTGGATTACTTCAATTATCTCCAGGATAGAAGACTCTGTGGAACTGGTTTTGGGCAGAAAAGCCATGCTTCATTTGGTCACAAAGGATTTCCATCTATCTTTTGAACCAATGGACCAATTTGGATGATTTTGACATATGTTTGTATTTGGAGTATGCTGATTCTGAAAATGTGAATGTGATGCATACTTTTAAAGTTATGAATAATGTGGAAAAACTGTATTTCTCTGCCTGTGATAATTACATTACCCATTGTGTAAGGTAATTGTATCACAGGCAGAGGGGAGGATTTTGTGTGGGAGTGTCTGAGTGTATTGTACGTGTTTATTGGTCGTTTACCAAAACCCTGTGGGTGGTACTAATGTGTAAGAATGTGTATATAAGAACAATAAACCCACAGCTCTGTCTGTTCCTGCTTGACCCTCAACACGGAGCTGTTCTTGGGGGGATTTACTGTAGGCTGTTAGAGACTGATTGCCCGGAGTGTAAGCTGCTTGGTTGCTTTTCCTGTTCAGCTGCTAGCAGCTATTCGTGAGGTTCCAGTTCGGGAGTTTGGAGTGCTACTTTGTATCCTATTCGGGAGTTTGGGGTTCTGCGGTAGCTGTGCCTGTGTCTCTGGAAGGGGAAGATCTTCTAAACGGCGTTTAACCCCTTTTATGCTGGGGGTGCCGTAACACTTGCATACATGTAGCAATGTACTGTTCCCAATAAAATGGAAGTGTGTACTTGTTTATGCACCCCCAAACAAATAAACAAAAGCAAAACACACAGAATGTGAAGTGTAATCATGTACATTAGTAAAGACAAGATATAAGTCAATCACAGATACTAACACAGGTGGTATGGTAACTGTAAAGAAACTACAGGAAGGCTCATATCATGGACAACGGTGGAGGTCAACCACAAAGTCCTCTAGAACAGTTCTTACCCCACCAGTAATTTCAAATATGAATCCAGTCAGTAACCACAAACGTGAAGTAGAGACCCACATGAAGATTTTTGGATATCTGAGCTAATGGGTAACCATAACGCGGGGCCCAGGGCATGTTATGACCAAATGCCTTCTCACCAGAGTTTGAGAAAACAAAATGGGCAAGGACTGGTAGAGAGATGATGAAATTGCATGAATGTTGTCTCCTGGCATGGTGTAGTAAGGATAGGATGATGTAACAAAATCCCTCATTGCTTGTAGTAGTTATGGTGATTTTTCTCACAGTGGTTATGGTGTGGATCACGCTACTAGCATTGTATTCCAACCAAGAACACGCTGCTAGACTCTGGTTACCCTGGGACTATGGCCCCTGGAGTGCATTACTTGTTAAAAACTCAATTTCTGCCTCTTGGATGTTAAAAACTATGTCTGGCCCTTTAACTCTGCTCTGGAGAGGCCTGCTTGCCAGCTATATCACTACCAGCTCATATAAGAGCTCTCTCCAGCTACCCTGCTACACCTTCTGGAAGGAGAGCCCCAGCTATACCCTCCTGGAAGAGGGAGCCCCGCTCTAACCACTCTACAGAACCTTGAGTCTCCAGTACTGGGAAGGAGGACGCCCAGACCGTAAATACCCTACTCCATAGGGGTAACCATCACAGATGGCCGCTGTCCTCTGGCATGCTGTAACAAGGATAGGATGAAGTGTCATGGCCACTGTCCTCTGGCATGCTGTAACAAGGATAGGATGAAGTGCCATGGCCGCTGTCCCCTGGCATGGTGTAACAAGGATAGGATGAAGTGCCATGGCCTCTGTCCTCTGGCATGCTGTAACAAGGATAGGATGAAGTGTCATGGCCACTGTCCTCTGGCATGCTGTAACAAGGATAGGATGAAGTGCCATGGCCGCTGTCCCCTGGCATGGTGTAACAAGGATAGGATGAAGTGCCATGGCCTCTGTCCTCTGGCATGCTGTAACAAGGATAGGATGAAGTGTCATGGCCACTGTCCTCTGGCATGCTGTAACAAGGATAGGATGAAGTGCCATGGCCGCTGTCCCCTGGCATGGTGTAACAAGGATAGGATGAAGTGTCATGGCCACTGTCCTCTGGCATGCTGTAACAAGGATAGGATGACGTGCCATGGCCGCTGTCCCCTGGCATGGTGTAACAAGGATAGGATGACGTGCCATGGCCGCTGTCCCCTGGCATGGTGTAACAAGGATAGGATGAAGTGTCATGGTCTCTGTCCCCTGGCATGGTGTAACAAGGATAGGCTGAAGTGTCATGGTCTCTGTCCCCTGGCATGGTGTAACAAGGATAGGATGAAGTGTCATGGCCAGTGTCCTCTGGCATGCTGTAACAAGGATAGGATGGCGTGCCATGGCCGCTGTCTCCTGGCATGGTGTAACAAGGATAGGATGAAGTGTCATGGTCTCTGTCCCCTGGCATGGTGTAGTAAGGATAGGATGAAGTGTCATGGCCAGTGTCCTCTGGCATGGTGTAGTAAGGATAGGATGAAGTGTCATGGTCTCTGTCCCCTGGCATGGTGTAACAAGGATAGGCTGAAGTGTCATGGCCGCTGTCACCTGGCATGGTGTAGTAAGGATAGGATGAAGTGTCATGGCCGCTGTCGCATGGCATGCTGTAACAAGGATAGGATGAAGTGTCATGGCCACTGTCCTCTGGCATGGTGTAACAAGGATAGGATGAAGTGTCATGGCCGCTGTCGCATGGCATGGTGTAGTAAGGATAGGATGAAGTGTCATGGTCTCGGTCACCTGGCATGGTGTAGTAAGGATAGGATGAAGTGTCATGGCCGCTGTCACCTGGCATGGTGTAGTAAGGATAGGATGAAGTGTCATGGCTGCTGTCGCATGGCCCGTTGAAGTTATGGGGAAGTGACTCGGCCCCTACATGGCACGTATTTCTCCACTGAAAGAAAACAGAAATCTACACATCTAATGTATTCAGCTGCGAGGGCTGAGCAGTTTAATGGAGCCCCATTGTCTATTTGTCATTATTGACTGATTTCACTTTATTGGACATTTTGTCTCATCTAGGAAATTAGATCAATAAAACTTCACAGGATAAGGGGGAGGGAGGGGAATGGAGAATAGTAACTTTTAATGGATTCCAGAGAAAGAGATAGCTGTAGCATTACAGTCATGAAAAACAAATTTATTTGCCTTAATCTGATATATTATCACATTCCCCGTAAGAGAATCTGTAAACTGTGCAATGTTCAATGTAAGGAACAATGCATAACTCCTGGACGCCTCTAGGAATTTCTGACCATTGGACGTTAAATGTAAACCTGGTGGATGACAAAATAAATTTCTTGTACATTTAACTCTGTAAGTGTATCTTGAAGTGTCATGACATTTATAAATCATTAAACCATGAAATCATGCCATGTAGACCCAAGAGGTCAATGTTCTCATGTGTGTATCTCAGTATTATTACCAAAGTAACACAACAATTGAACTTGGTGGAGAACCTTGATATAAGTCACCATGCCAGTCAAGCTACAAACTGCAATCTCACGGCTCAGGATCGGACGTGGCACCTGGTGCCAGATGAGTCAAATTAACATATAGTGCCAGACACAAAGAATATAACTCAAGACAAGGAAGGGGCACAGGAACATGACCCAAGGCATACAGGGACCCCAGGAGCATGACTAAAGACATACAGGTACCGCACATAGGGACTGCTGGAACATGACCCAAGACACATAGGGACTGCTGGAACATGACCTAAGACACATAGGGACTGCTGGAACATGACCCAAGACACATGGGGACTGCTGGAACATCACCCAAGACACATGGGGACTGCTGGAACATGACCCAAGACACATGGGGACTGCTGGAACATGACCCAGCACACACTCACTCACACACTGACAGACATACACACTGACAGATACACACACACATTAACTGACAGACACACACACACTCATACATATTTCCCCCAACACTCACAAATTATTATTATAATTTTTTTCAATTTTAATTTAAATTCACCCAGCCTCCCTGGGAGAGCTGCAGTGAATTCCTTACCTGTGGTCCAGTGGGGCTGCTGGGGCTGCTAGAGCTGCTGGGCAGGTGTGCGTGCAGGCGGGCAGGGTGCAAACGGGCCCAGGAAGTTGCAAGGGAGCTCTGAATCACCGCTTAGTGATGCCGTCATATTCCGGCTCCTGGCATCACTCCTGGCATGTTCCCTCCCCACATGCCCGCAAAACAAGCTGCAGCCTGTCTCGGGGGATGGGGGGGGGCTACAAAGGTGGCCATGCTACAAAGGTGGCCTGATCTTGTATTTGGGGGTGGCTAATTTTGCCGCCCCCTGGAAAATGCCGCCCAAGGCCTTGTAAGCCTTGTGGTAAATATTTCGCTGGCAGACCCGCCCACTTTCTGGTTGTGTCCATCTGTTATGGGGCTGTGGATTTGCTTAAGAGATGAAAGCGAGAGTTTATCATAGGACATAGGGTGTTTTCTAATAGTTGAATCCTGGGTATTTTCTCCAGGATCACCTCCATCAGATAAATGCCACCAGATACACGCCACCACATACACACCACCAGATACATGCCACCAGATTGCGCCATCAGATACATACCACCATATACATGCCACCAGATACACGCCATTAGATACACGCCATCAGATACATACCACCAGATACATGCCACCAGATACATGCCACCAGATACACGCTATCACATACACGCCATCAGATGCATTCCATCAGATACACGCCATCAGATACATGCCATCAGATACACGCCATCAGATACACGCCACCAGATACATGATGCTTGGGAGGTCTGAATGTTTTAGTGTTTTTTGTTGATAAGATTCTGTAAATAGGCTTGTCGTAATTGTCAGTGTGACGAGACCAATCTCGCCACATTGCATTGGAGAAGCCTGGTTGCTCGCCTGTTGCCTTTGGATTATGGCCCCATGTTAAAAGGTTTGATTTTCCCCTGCAAAGACAAGAAAGCCGGGTCATTTGGTGCTTGCCCTGTTTGAGCAGTGATACCCCAGATAGCTATGCCATGGAGCCCATTCGTATAATGAAAGACTTTGGCTCCATGGCAATTGAACTGTATGTGTTTGTGGTCTGAGCGCCATTCAGTAATGGCCTATCTGGGCATATGTTGCATGTCTGTATTTTATGTCATAAATGTAACCTTGTGTATTTTATTGTAGTTTACTGTCTTTTTGCTGCCATGTGTTCAATGGAGTTTTGCCTCTGTCTTTGGAGATAATTGGATTACTTCTAATTATCTCCAGGATAGAAGACTCTGTGGAACTGGTTTTGGGCAGAAAAGCCATGCTTCCTGTGGTCACAAAGGACTACGATCTATCTTTTGAACCACTGGACCAATTTGTATGATTTTGACATATGTTTGTATTTGGAGTATGCTGATTTTGAAAATGTGAATGTGATGCATACTTTTCAAGTTATGAATAATGTGGAAAAACTGTATTTCTCTGCCTGTGATAATTACATTACCCATTGTGTAAGGTAATTGTATCACATGCAGAGGGGAGGAATGTGTGTGGGAGTGTCTAAGTGTATTGAATGTGTTTATTGGTTGTGTTCCAAAACCCTGTGGGTGGTACTAATGTGTAAGAATGTGTACATAAGCACAATAAACCCACAGCTCTGTCTGTTCACTGCTTGACCCTCAACACGGAGCTTTGTCTCGTTCTTGGGGGGATTTATTGTATGCTGTTCCAGTTCGACTGCTAGGAGTGTAAACGTATTCGTATGATTTTTCCTATTCGGCTGTTTACAGTATTCATATGGTTTCCTGTTCAGCAGATTGGTGTTCTGCAGTAGCTGTGCCTGCATCTCTGGAAAGGGGGATGATCGCCTAAACGTTTTTTACCCCTTGTGTGCAAAACGGTCTGTTACAGTCAGCACCAAGCCCAATGTGCTCTTATCCAGTCCTGGGTACATCTATATATACAGTGTACCATTCCCAATAAAGGGAGTGCACCCCTGTATATGTGCCCCAAAAGGATAAGCAAAGCCAACATGCACGGAATGTGAACATTAGAAATGCTACAGTCATACATACACCATAGAGGATGATGAGGTGCTGTAAAGTTAGGAGCAGAACTAACAAACTGAAAGACTGGTCCAACAGGGGCGACAATTAGTGATGTCGCGAACATAAAATCTTCGGTTCGCAAATGGCGAACGCGAACTTCCGCAAATGTTCGCGAATGGGCGAACCGCCATAGACTTCAATAGGCCGGCAAATTTTAAAACCCACAGGGACTCTTTCTGGCCACAATAGTGATGGAAAAGTTGTTTCAAGGGGACTAACACCGGGACTGTGGCATGCCGGAGGGGGATCCATGGCAAAACTCCCATGGAAAATTACATAGTTGATGCAGAGTCTGGTTTTAATCCATAAAGGGCATAAATCACCTAACATTCCTAAATTTTTGGAATAACGTGCTTTAAAACATCAGGCATGATGTTGTATCAATC